AAATTAAAATTTCAATGTCTATAAATAAACTTTTATTGGAACCCAGCCACACCCATTTGTTTACATAGGGTTCATGACTGCTTTTGCCCTAAAGGGCAGAGCTGAGTAGTTGAGACAGAGGCTGTATGCCCTGCATGCAAAGCCACAAATATTTCCTCTCTGGTCTTTTACAGGAAAAGTTTGCCAACCCCTGATCTAGAAGAGCTCTCAGGAAAGGCTTCGAAGTTTATTCACAATAAGAAATAAATCGTTTATCAGTGAAAGCTCCTAAAATACATTTTAAAAAATGTAACAGGTAAGACAACGCATCAAATTAAAACAAGAAGCGAGCAGACAAGAAAGAGGAAGAGACACGAATAATAATATTGCTGTATCTTATGTGCCAGATCCTCAGATAAGCACTTCTTTCAATAAAATTATTTCCTCTCCTTCCAGCATGGCGACCAGACAGGCATCACTATTCTTTTTTTTTTTTAACCATTTAAAAAAATTGAAGTATAGGTAATTTACAGTGTTGTGTTACTTTCAGGTGTACAGCAAAGTGATTCAGTTATACATACACACACACATACGTATATATTCTTTTTCAGATTATTTTCCACTATAGGTTATTACAAAATACTGAATGTAGTTCCCTGTGCTCTACAGTAGGTCATTTTTGGTTATCTATTTTATATATAGTGGTGTGTATCTGTTAATCCTATACTCTTAATTTATCCCCCCCTTTCCCATTTGGTAACCATAAGTCGGTTTTCTATGTCTGTGAGTCTATTTCTGTTTTGTAAATAAGTTCATGTGTATCATATTTTAGATTCCACATATAAGTGATATCATATGATATTTGTCTTTCTCTGTCTGACTTACTTCACTTAGTATGATAATCTCTAGGTCCATCCATGTTGCAGCAAATGTCATTATTTTGTTTTTCTTATGGCTAACATTCCATTGTATGTATATAATACATCTTCTTTATCCATTCCTCTGTCGATGGGCATTTAGGTGGCTTCCATGTCCTGGCAGTTGTGAACAGTGCTGCTATGAACACTGGGGTGCGTGTGTCTTTTTTCATTTTAGAGATGAGAAGCCTAAACTCGGAGGCCGAATGATGTTCCCTGGGTCACAAAGCACAAGACAAAGCCAGGATTTGACCCTACGGTAGTTTAGCTTCAAAACCACATCTTCGACCGTAACTTGAGAATTTCAGACACTGATGAACAAGCCACGCTGGGCACGTACAGGGGAGACAGGATCTACCTGCTGGCCATGAGATCACAGTTTCTCCAGGGCAGGAAGATGCAGAAATGAGAAGAGAGCCTGGCACAGGTGTAAATGGAAGTACCTCTCCTTCCCCCATCATGACGTGGCTCTCCTGGCAGTAGACCAGTGCTGGGCAGCTCTGTTTCAGGATTACAGCTGCGGGTTGTCCCCCTGGAGCTGGTCTTCAAGTGTTGACAAGAACTCCAAAGCAGATGGGTACATGAGGGTTTTATTAACCCAGGAGCTGTCAACTTCATGACTGGCAAATGGGGGCCGGGGTTTTGGGGAAAACAATGAACGATCCAAGAAAACTTGCCATAAGATGAAAAACAGCTAGGAACACCCTAAGGGACGTAGCAACGGTCGTCAAACAGAGATGATAGCTGTTAAAGGAGAAATAAAGCAACCGTGGATTGGACAGGAGTTGGAAGTTTGACCTTGAAGCAGGGAATCGGATCCAGCAGAGAGTCTCGGCTCTGGAGGATGAGGGTTAGGGGAGGAAAATATGGGTCATTTAAAGCCAGACACCCGTGGAACTGCCCATCAGGGAAACCCCATGTCTGCATTGCTGGCTGGGTGGTGAGAGTGGATTTTTTGGTTAGGTGAGCATCAGGCCGGCTCCAGGGGACAGCTGTGAACCTGGCCCACTGCAGACAGTGACTCTCAGCTGCCTCTGCTGTATAGGCGGGTGCCTGCGTCAGCTATGCAGCCAGGGAGGGATGTCCCAGAACTTCCTGTGCCATACACGCTGCATCACGCTATTTCTAAAGCACACAGGAGGACATGGGGTTTCAGGAAAGTCCAGTGACTCAACTGAAATGCCACAGAGAAGCTAGATTCTCTGGGGAGCTCCTCTCCCCACCCTTGGCTTGTAAAGCACGTTCACTTTCTACGATTCTGTCTAAAACGAAGTGTTTAGACTCAGCTGTCAAGTAATTGCTCTTTTAAAAAATATGGTCTGCAGAGTGACAAGGAATAACTATAGATATACGTCTGCTCTCACTTTTGCAACAGTGTGAGGTGATGACAAAATTTTAGCAACAACCAAAAATTACATGGAGGATCAGTATTTTCCCAAATCTGCTGGTATCTGCAGGATGCATACAGATGACCCAACTAGGAAAAGGATCCATGTTTAGATAAGTTTGGGAAACGCTGGATTACATAATTGCAAACAGGTTAATTTACCACAGGATTTCTCAGAACTTTTTTTTTTTTAATAAATTTATTATTTATTTTTGGCTGTGTTAGGTCTTCACTGCTGCGTGTGGGCTTTCTCTAGTTGTGGCTGAGCGGAGGCTAGTCTTCGTTGCGGTGCGTGGGCTTCTCATTGTGGTGGCTTCTCTTTGTTTTGGAGCACGGGCTCAAGGCGCGTGGGCTTCAGTAGTTGTGACACATGGGCTCGGTAGTTGTGGCTCGCGGGCTCAGTAGTTGTGGTGCACGGGCTCTAGAGCACAGGCTCAGCAGTTGTGGTGCACAGGCTCAGTAGTTGTGGCTCATGGGCTCAGTAGTTGTGGCTCATGGGCTCTAGAGCGCAGGCTCAGTAGCTGTGGTGCATGGGCTTAGTTGCTCCGCGGCATGTGGGATCTTCCCGGACCAGGGCTCGAACCCGTGTCCCCTGCGTTGACAGGTGGATTCTTAACCACTGAGCCACCAGGGAAGCCCGGATTTCTCAGAACTTTTAACACACTTTCATGTGCTGGGACTCTCTCAACGGCAAACGGATAGTGTTCTCAAGTGTATTTGACAGTAGAGAACCCCCAGTTCACGCCTAGGCTTTGTCATGGTCACTCATGGGAGCAGCATTAGGGGAACATTTGGGAAAACACCAGCCTCAAAATACCCTGAAATTCCAGCAAGACTAATACATTTGTAATTTCATCCTGTTTGGAGGAGGTTGCAAAATTTTCCTTATGACAGGAGTTTTGTAGGTGAGCCCTCAACACCTATCAAATTGGGAGAGAAAACAGTTTTTCATGCTTGGGCCATCCTATACTTTACCTGAGTGAGAACCTGGGGCCACGAAGGGTCCGTCACAGGAAATGAGGCACAGTGAACACACAGGCATCATGGGAGCCGCGGTGACTGGGAAGCTGGGGCAACATCTGCCCAAAGCCTGTGTCTGGGGAGCGATTTCTCACATTTTCAGCTCCCTTGGAAAGCTTGGATGATGTTTCCAGGCACAGACTTGTAACCACACCGACCACTGCATCGGAGCATGTGGTCAACCCCCCGCCCACCTGTGCTCCCTGCAAACCCTGAGCTCCACGACCCAAGACAAAATGAGAGGGGCCACGGGCTCAGGAAGGGCCAGGTGACACCGTGACCACAGCACAGCCTCCGCTTCCAAGGTCTGGGGTTCACCTTGGGTAAGAGGAGTGATGTTTCTTCTTTGTGTTCCCCAACCTGCCCAGACAATCCTGCAGCCACTTTGGTTTCAGGACTTCTGAAACTCTTCCTGGGGCAGCAGATCATTGTCTGTTCTAATCAGGACCATTCTGGCTCCTCTTTACATGTTCACATCATCAGCTTTCAACACCAAGTGTATGGAAGCCATCTTTTCCCACACCTCCTGTCATTTTTGCTTCACCCACTTCCACAATTCATTGATTCCTTTGTTCATTGTCTTACATTTAAAATACCGATGTTTATTAAATGCCCCTGCCTTTGGGCATCATCCGTTATGAGCTGTCCTCATCTGACAATTCTCTCTATCTTCCCATGGCTTCTAATACATTTGGGGAATTTTCTAATCCTCATTTCAGGATTTTATCTCTGTAGATAAAACATCTCGATGTCTAAAGACCAACATCCTGCAAATGTGGTATTAGTGAGGAGTTTTAGTGTAAAGACTGTGTCTGCTATTCAACAGCCAAGACATGGAAGCAACCTAAATGTCCATTGACAGATGAATGCATAAAGAAGATGTACATATATACAATGGAATAGCACTCAGCTATAAAAAAGAACAAAATAGTGCCATTTGCAGCAACATGGATGAACTTAGAGATTATCATACGAAGTGAAGTAAGTCAGACAGAGAAAGACAAATACCATATGATATCACTTATATGTGGAATCTAAAATATGATACAAATGATAAACTTATTTACAAAACAGAAAGAGACTCACAGATATAGAGAACAGACTTGTGGTTGCCAAGGGGGAGGAGGTTGGGGGGGGATGGATTGGGAGTTTGGGATTAGCAGATGCAAACTATTATATAGAGAATGGATAAACAACCAAGTCCTACTATAGCAGACTATAGCTATAGTATAGCACAGGGAACTGTATTCAATATCCTGTGATAAACCATCATGGAAAATAATCTGAAAAAGAATGTATATGTGTGTGTGTGTGTGTGTGTGTGTGTGTGTGTAACTGAATCACTTTGCTGCACTGCAGAAATTAACACAACATTGTAAATCAACTATACTTCAATAAAATAAATTTTAAAAAAAGAACGTGTCTGTATTAAGTTGGTTATAAAGAAAACCGCGAGACAGCCTGTCGGCTCATTAGCTGTGACTCTGGACAAGTAACCAATCCTTGTGGGCGTTGTTTTCCCCACCTATAAACTGGGGGAAATAATACTCCCAACTTCATTTGGTTAATACAAGGAGTAATTGAATTAACATATCTAAAAGGCTTATGAGAGCACCTAGAATACAGTCAATGACATACAAGCATTAGCTATTATTATTTCCACCATTTAGAATAAAGCGTGGAGATTTTTTTTTAAGTGTTTTTTTTCTTTCTGTTTTAAGGCCCAGATTATGTAAAGGATCATCTCCCTAAAGTTGCTCAGCATACTTCCTATATAGGAGAAAAGCGTCCTGCATTAGAAAAAACTGGAGATCTCAGATATTTACAGAGGCCCGCCTCAAAGAGAAGCTTGCCGGCCAAATATAAATCTGAGTATGTTGGTGAAATTGGTTGGGGAATACCAGTGTATGACTTTATCAACAAAACAAGGCTTCAGACTGGCTTTCATGTTAAGGTATTTTTCTTAAATTTATGCTCCTCCTTGCACATTGTTTTCTGGTTTGAAAGCTTTCTGAGTTTGCTTCCGTAGGAAACGTCATGTTCTCGACCTGTCCTTGAGAAGCAATGGCATTGGAGTTTTCGCAGAAAAATGAGTGTGTGAATAAATGTACTTGCTGCTATCATCACTCCCTTTGTCCCTTAGTACAGGCAAGGAGAGGTGTGAAGGGAATGAAGCCGAGGGCACTCCAAGAGCGTTTGCACTTGGCTTTGGAATGCATCCAGATTCCCATCTACGCTGTGACATTCACACAGGCTCCCCCATCCTTGCAAGGCTTGGTGAGTGGGTGGTGGTAAAGCAGCAGCCTGTGCTGCACTTCATCCACCAACCTAGAAACCAGCCCCAGAGCTTTAAAACCCTCTGTGTGGATCATGCCTTTAAATCAGACCATCCAGGGCACTTAGTCAGAGGGCTCTTAGAAAACTTGTCTGTCTCTGTTTGGTGATGTGGATGTGGGCGTGACCCCACACGTTCTCCTCTGAAACAGGAGAGAGCACGGGTGATTTTAGAAGCAAAATCTGAGAATTCAGACTTTTTTCCCAGGCGAGACTTGGTCTGAAAACATGTATCAACGATGCAGTAACTGGATTTCTTAAGATAATATAGTAACAGCCTCATATAGTAAAGGTTAACAAAGGAAAAAGCCTTTTTCTGGCCAACCCTTGGCAAGTACAGGAGAGCAGCTGAGAGCTCAGTCTTTGAGGTCAAGAAGGGTTCCACTCCTGCCTCTGAGTCAGGTCCAACTCTGCGACCCTGGGCTTGAGTTCACCTCCCTGGGTCTCCATGCCTCCTCTGCTCCATGGCAGTGCTAGAGTGTCCACTTCCTAAGACCACCTGAATTCCTATCCCACTCCTGCCACCTGCTAGCTGTGAGTGGCCTTGGCCAGTTCCTTGACCTCTGTGCCTCTTCATCATGAATCTGAGCATTTGCTTTATCAGGCTGTCGTCAAGAAACATTTGTAAAGTGCTGGGCACCGTGCCTGGAACACATCAAGGCTCTATGTCTTTTATGTTTCTTAACTTCCCAGCATAAGGTTTTCCTGGTTACATACAAAACCCAAAAAGCGAAAACCCTTTTAGGTTAAGTTAGGAATAAAAGAGAACTTCCCTAGTTTGACAATCTACATAAAAAAACAAAAAACAAAAAATAAAAAAAACCTATAGCAATAGCAATACTGAATGATAAAACATTGAAAGCATTTCTCTTTAAGATCAGGAACAAGACACAGATTCCCCAAATCATGATTTTTTCATTCAGCTTTGTACTGGCGGTCTTAACCATGGCAGTAAGGGGGGAAAAAGTATAAAATGTGTAAGGATTAAAATGGAAGAAGCAAAGCTATCATTATTTGCTAATAATATGCTTGTCCATGTAGAATACCTCAAAGTATAAGAGAATTTGGTAGTCAACAGGATACAAAATCCAGGTATGAAAATCAATTTTATTTTTATATATGAGAAACAGACAGAAAATGCAATAAAACAGGATACTACTTACAGTGTCGTCAACAGATACAAAGTATGTAGGAATAGATCTTAAAAAAGGATATTCTGGCACAACATTGTAAATCAACTATACTTCAATAAAAAAAAAAAAGATGTTCAACACACGGAGAAAAATGATAAAACTATTGAAACAAGATCTAAATAAATGGAAAGATATATCATGTTTATGAATTGGAAGATTCAGTATCATAAAGATGTCAAATCTATCAGATTGATAAAAGTAATTCCCATGCAATTACAATAAAAATCCCAATTGTTTTTTTTCTGAAAAAAAAAAAAGACTGTGTCTTAGCATGCTTCTTGTTATGTCGTGACTTCTAAATACGAGGGCATGAGGAACGCGCTCTGCATGGTGCCCAGCATGCAGTTGACACCCTGATTTCAACGACTGGGACTGTGGTTTTGTACTTAATGTCACTCAGGGCCAGTGACACAGAATGAAGACTCAGGTTCCTAAACTGGGTCTTACTCCACTCAGGCAATAAAGATGAAGATCAGAAACTTGATTCGATATCAAAAGTGGCCACCAGTGAGAGGAGGACAAACCCAAAACAAGGCAGCCAGTTTGAACAGAGTCCAGAACATCTGTTGCCTTGTTGCTTCTCTCCAGTGACGCCGGGCTTTTGTGCACAGCCCTTGATCTGTTGCCCATCTTGAGTGTGTGCAGCTGTGAATGCAAGATTCACATCAGTCTTGACTTAGCCTTCCAGGAAGGGATTTATTCGGTTTCTTTTGATGGAATTTCACAGACGGCTCTAAATCCCCGCTCTGCGTGATAGCGCGGTCCTCTTAACCCTGGTGAGACTGAGTATTAGCCATACAGAGACCTCCACCCCGCCACCCAACCCCGTGGCTCACACAGAAGCTGGTCTTGTTTGGCATAGGCTGTGAGGACTTGTCATCTGTGCATTTTCTTGGCCCCAGCATTTTGACAGTAATTGTTTTCAAAGATGTACTTATCTCAGGTAACGATCTTAAACAAGTCTTAAAGGATTCCTTAGACTTAGAACTTTATCATGAGAACAAAAAGATGCACTGAGAATGACTGTACATACAGGTCAAGAACCACATATGATTTACCCACCAGCTAAGGCCTAGGATTTGTCACCAAGACTGCTAACCTCCCCCAACCCTGCACCCAGGGCCTGCTTCCATCCCCTGCCCGCCAAGGTCAGCTTCTGAGTCAAGCCCCAGACTTGGATACCTTATCAACGCAGAGCTCCAGGCAGCCCCTTCCAATCAATGAGACTTGGCTGGAAGTGACATTTGAGCTGATAGATACACAGACGCTTCATGCCTAGAAACAAGCCCCTAATCACAAATAACACGTGAGCGTCTGTGCCATGAATTCACACCTCCTCGATAGGGAGCTGGTCCATTCCTCAGTGCGATGTAACCCAGGGCGACGTCTCCACCCGCGTCCTTTTCTCTCTCTGGCTGCTGGTCCTTGGTAGCCCTCGATCCCATCCCCGTGATGTCTGTGTCTGTAAGAGTCCCACCAAGGTGGCACTTTGTTTCTGTCTAACCTCAGAGATTCCTCGGTGGCTCCCACCAAGATAACTCAGAACTTTGATTTTTAAGCACAAACCTTCACCTAGTGGATTTTTATAGCCAGAACATCTGCTCTTCCTAATTTCCTGCTCTAGGTTCCAGTAAGACCGGCAGCTAAGGAAGCTCGGGCACCTGCAGTAGACTCTCGGTAACATGCCTGGGGCAGCTGCTTCCTGCCCGGGAATGGTCTCTCCTCTCTGGGGCACTGCGAAGGGGTCTGTAGATCATCTGCATTTGGGTAGACAGATAGTAACTTCCAGGCTGAGTGACACCTGAGAAAGTTCCCACATTGCAGTGGTCAGTGAAAATGACAACATCGGATCTCTCTTCTGGGTCTCTCTGTGTTGGGCTATTTCCTGCTCGGATGTGGGGCTGCAGTGCAATGATGATACACGCGTAATAAACCAGTAAAGATCACTGCTTTTGTTACTGTCTCAGATTTAAGAGCAATACATTCTCCTCATTCTTTTTCTTTTTTTTTAATGGATTTGGTCTCTGCCAAACCATGTGTGTTGTTTCTGCCACAGTATATGGAGACCAGTGAAACAATTCCTTCGGTTTCAAACTGAGGAGCCTGTCTAAGTGGTTTGTAGCTGGGTTCGTAGTGGTTTGTAGCTAAGTGGTTCGTGTCTCCCTCCCCTGGCCTTTCTTTAACCCAGGTCCCCCAATGCCTGTTTTCTAGTCCTGCATCCGACCTCAGGGCCAGATGATTTGACACTTGGTTTTCCCACAGAAACAATGCGATACTGGACTTGAGGACTGACTCTTCATAGGTGTGGTCCCAAAGGCAATACTAAATCAGTGAATCATAACAGCTATTACCACCAATATATCATACGGTATAATACCTTGAGCGATGTGTGGAGGATAATGAGAACCGTGGGGACGCGCCCATAATATATTTATATGGGATACAGTGTCATATCATAAAAAGGAAATTTTTCGAGGCTTTGAAACTCCTGCCTCCTGTTTATCTGCCCCAAATCCCCATGTTATGAACACAGAGGGCTTCTCTGAGTTTCGTGGACATGGGAACAGACTTCTTGATGGATGTCGAATAAATCAATCCAAGGTCGGTGGCTTTATGAGACATTTTTCTCACTGTGAATTTATTTAGAGAAAGTAAACATAGAAAGAGCTCTTGCTGTGGGAATGTAAATTGGTGCAGCCACTATGGGAAACAGTATGGAGGTTCCTCAAAAACTGAAAATACAGCTACTGTATGATCCTGCAATCCCACTCCTCGGCATATATCCAGACAAAACCATAATTCAAAAAGATACGTGCTATGTATAGCTGATTCACTTTGTTATACAGAAGAAACTAACACACCATTGTAAAGCAATTATACTCCAGTAAAGATGTTAAAAAAAAAAAGATACATGCAATGTTCATAGCAGCACTATTCACAATAGACAAGACATGGAAACAACCTAAGTGTCCATCGACAGAGGAATGGATAAAGAAGATGCACATATATACAATGGAATATTACTCAGCCATAAAAAGAATGAAATAATGCCATTTGCAGCAACATGGGTGGACCTAGAGATTGTCCTACTGAGTGAAGTATGCCAGACAGAGAAAGACAAATATCATATGATATCACTTATACGTGGAATCTAAAATATGGCAGAGAGACTTCCCTGGCGGTCCAGTGGTTGAGACTTGGTGCTTCCACTGCAGGGGGCATGGGTTCGATCCCTGGTGTGGGAACTAAGATCCCGCATGCCGTGCAGTGCGGCCAAAAAATAAAATAAAATAAAATATGACAGAAACGAGCTTATTTATGAAGCAGAAACAGACCCACAGACATAGAAAACAAACTTTTGGTTACCAAAGGGGAAAGGGGGTGAGGGAGTGCTCGCCCTGATGAGCGCCTCGCCCAGCGGCTCCAG